CACACGAAGACACTGCCTGCTCAATGATGCTGTTCGGATGGTTGGATTGAGGGGAGGGTAGGTTCCAATTGGTGCTCAACTGTTTACACAACCATACCCATCAATCATACATCTGGTACATTGTCTTTTTGTACCTTTGATTAGTTGGTTGACGGACTGCTAACCTCACGGACAGATTAGTGTAGGACTGTTGTATGCTACCATAGCCAGTTCTAACTAATGCTGCTGTAAGTGAACCAATCAGGGTGCATCTAGACCATGTAGACAATCTGTGTGAATGTTGTAGACATGCCACTTGATTCGGTATAGTAGGATACTCGCCGGACACAACTATTGTTAGAAAATTAGGTGTCGGTCAGATACATGTTGTGGTAGGATTCCACTAGGGGATTCTAGTGCAGAAACTATCTGCCTAACTAATGAGTGGATCAGATCCTGTTGATGATAGAGCAGACAATAGAAGACTTACACGTGCAGATGCACTAAGGGTTTCGCACGTGTTCAGGACCTTGGACGAGGGAGAAGAAAGACGGCTTCGTGCCGAATGTAGAGCCCGTGCTCTAGCAACAGGATTACAGGAAGCAAACAGAGTAGCAAGAGAGCGGGCAACAGTAGCCAGAGCAACAGCAATGGCTAACGATACCAGCTCTGCTGCGTCATCGTCTGCGTCATCGTCTGCGTCCTCGTCAGGGAATAGTGGGACTCAGTTGGGAATGCCAACGAGTTCCACAAGTTCCTCGGGCACTTCCGGTTCAACAGGGTCTAGACAGTCTTCTAGTCAAATGGCGGGCTCGCAGTTCAGCCCGTTGACCCCGTGTGAGAGGGAGCTCAGAGAGATCCAACAGGTCGAGAGGCTCCGCCAGCAGTTAGAAGAGGATCTGAAGAAAGCAACCGATAGAGAAAGAGAGATAAAAAGTAGAGCGTCCAGACTTGATACGTTAGAGGCTGACAAGGCTGCGTTAGAGGGATTGGACGAATCGAGTTTGTCTGACACCCTGAAAGTGTTGAGGGACAACATGTTGTCACTGCATGC